GTTGCAGTGAGCTATGATGACACCACTGCACTCTAGCCTGAGTGACAGAGCAAGACTCTGTCTCAGAAAAAAAGAAAAAGAACAAAGAAACCCTGTAAGCTTTAGCAGTCACCCTGTCTTAGTCTGTTTTCTATTACTATAACAAAATACCTGTACTAGGTAAGTTATGAAGGAAGGTGGTTTATTTTTCACTGTTCTGGAGGCTGAGAAGTCCAAGATCATGCAGCCGCATCTGTGAAGGACCTGGCACTGCTTCATAGCATGGCAGAAGAGCAGAAGTGGGAAGGGGGCATGAGAGAGAAAAGAGGGGGCTGAACTCTCTTGGTAGCTAACCCATTCCTTCAAGAAAGGCATTAATCCCCCCTAATGACCTGATCACCTCTTAAAGACCCCACCTTCCAGCACCACCATAGTGGATTCAGATTTCAATGTGAATTCCAGGGGACATACCTAAACCCGTATTAGTCCCAACCATGGACAACCACTCATCTATTTTCTGCCTGTATGGATTTTTTTGTTTTGCACATTTCACATAAATGGAATCATACAACATGTGATCTTTTGTGACAGACTACTTTTATTTAGCATAGTGTTTTGTAGGTTCATCCATGTTGTAGCATGTATCAATACAGTTGTCCCTTGGTATACTAGGGGGATTGGTTCCAGGACCTCCATGTGTACCAAAATCCGTGCATATGCAAGTCCTGTAGTGGGCCCTATGGAACCCACGTATGAAAAGTTGGCCCTCCATATACTTGGGTTTTACATCCCAAGAATGCTGTTTTCCATTCGTGTTCAGTTGAGGGGGGAATGCGTGTAAGTAGGCCCGAACAGCTCAAACCCATGTTGTTCAAGAGTCAGCTGTACTTATTTCATTTTAATTGCCAAATAATATTCCTTTGTATGGATATACCACATTTTGCTGAGCGGTTCACCAGTTAGTGGACATTCGAGTGGTTTATACTTCGGGCCTGTTATAAGTATACTGCTGCAAACGTTCACGTGCAGATGTTTGTGTGGACATTCTGAGAATAGAAGACATACGTAAGCAAAAGTGAAGTTATAGTTGTGGAAGTTACATTTTGCTGGACGTGATGCTTGCTTTATCAAGAATAGTTAATATCCTGAGAGAAATAGAAGGGAGCTGCTACATGGTCTCCAGGTGACATCATTACCGGGGGTGGAACCCTATTTGCTTCTGAACTTGTGATCCCTTCAGCCCTCTTCTAGCGTGTAAGCTCTAGGGGTCAGGGATTCTGTCTTACAAAACAGCCAGCACTGTGTTTCTTGAATAAAAGCCCTTTGTATTGTTAAGCTGTCTTTTGCTTATGTTTTGCATGGGCTTTAATTTTTTTTTTTTTCCTCCAATGATTTGCCACCACAGAAACCCCGAGACTCTTCAGTCGAAGTTCGTAGTGACTGGGAGGTGAAAGAGGAAATGGATTTTCCTCAGTTGATGAAAATGCGTTATCTGGAAGTATCAGAGCCACAGGACATGTACGTAGCATCTTTTGCCACTTCCCACCATGCTCTTACGTGTGTAGAGTAGCTGATGGAAGTATTTCCAAAAAGGCTTTGAAGCTACTTACTCCAAACACGTTACAAAAAATTAACAGAAGTGTTTTTAAAAAACAAAACCAGGGGGAAAAGTGGAAGTCTACTCATACTAAACTGCAAATTTCTTTTAACTTCCTGGCATCCTGAGCAAAGGAGATTAAATTATATAGCTTTTTTGGCAGAAAAAAGAAAGCAGAAAGAAATTTGCTGATGTTAAATTCCAGATTTCTTTCAGCTTCCTGGAATCCTGAGCAAAACAGAAGTAAGATTAAGTTATAAAGCTCTTCAGGCCAAAAGAGAAATGGCGATTCTTTAGGAGAATCTTTGCTTCTCCTGACATTTCCAAGAGCCCCTTATGTCAGAGGGCAAGTAGACGGGACAGACTTAGTGGGGAGCAGAGCACCAGGCCACAGGTCAGCCCCCACGGATGCAGCAGTAACTGGTCCTCTCGACCTCAGGCTCCCTGGCTCTTAACACAGGGGTTGGGCTCGGTGGGTTGTGTTCGCTGTGTCCCCTGGAGCCACATGAGGAGCTGAGAGGACAGGGAACCAACCAAACTCCGATGATTTGTCGTTTCTGTTCTAGTCAGTGTTTTCCATCCCTTATATGTTAGACTTCTGGATAAGACTTCTGATTCCGTGGCTTTAAAAAAGGGTCATCTCCTTTACTTGGCGTATCTGTCTTGCCCACTCTCTCCTCAGCGAGTGTTGTGGGGCCCTAGAATACTATGACAAAGCCTTTGACCGCATCACCACGAGGAGCGAGAAGCCCCTGCGGAGCATCAAGCGCATCTTCCACACTGTCACCACCACAGATGACCCTGTCATCCGGAAGGTGTGCACCGCCTCTGCCCCTGTCCCATCCGTTAGATATGCTGCAGCTTCCACAGCTGAGGCCGCAGAACAGAGCGCGTGGGAATATCAGTGTATTGTTGGGTCCTGTAGATAAGACTCTTCTGAATCAGACTTAACAGTTTGATGAAAATAAAGACACTTTGCTGGGCAGGCCAGAAATATTGGTGTTAAGCAGAGCTGCACTCGAACCCCAGCTGTGCTGTGCCTCGTAGCTTCATCTCTCTGAGCCTTAGTTTTCTCATCTGCAGAAGGAGGTCAGTATACGTGGCGCATGCCATTGGGGCAAGGATGAGAGCATCCTGAAACACTGGGCTGGAACCCAGCAAGTGCTCAGTGGGCCACGGTTCCACAGGAGCCCAGGGCAGTAGCTCTGCCCACAGGCTCGCTGGCTGGTCTGCCACAGCCTTCTTGGGCAATGGGAGGCGTGGATGTGTGAAAACCTCCTTATGCATCAGGTTTATGTGGCAAGCAAAGGAGTTCTTTCCCATCCACGTGAATGGACAGTGAGACCGAAGAGAGTCCTCAGATCTTTCATCCTCTTTGCAGCTGGCAAAAACTCAGGGGAATGTGTTTGCCACGGATGCCATTCTGGCCACGCTGATGAGCTGTACCCGCTCTGTGTATTCCTGGGATATTGTCGTCCAGAGAGTTGGGTCCAAGCTCTTCTTTGACAAGAGGGACAACTCGGACTTCGGTAAGAAGCCTGTCTTGGGAACAACTCAAACTCGAAGGTGTTGGGATTTTTGTCAGCTCGAAGCATTCCCCGGTGCTAGAGAGTGGGTAGAAAATCGTCCATCTGCCCCAAGGGAATTGACAGCAATGTCTGCGTCCCTCCCAGCCTCCTCAGATACGGGAAAGGACTGTCACTGCAGTACCTCCTCGATGCGTCAGCTTTTGGAGTCCTCGCAGCACCCCAGTGTACACTTGCAGGGGTTACTCACTCGCATAGTACTTTCCTGACCTCTGCCCTCTCCCGTGCCATCAGCACTGTTTGCTTTATGTCTTCCCTTAAATTGATCCCCCCCCTTTTTTTTGGCTTGAGCTTATTCATAAAGGCAAAAATACATGTACATATATTTTATACTATACTGATACATGTATACACACCGTAAGTGAAAACCAGGTTACTCAAAACATAACAGCAATGGAAACAAAACAGTTATATTCTGAATCTGAATCCTGAGGTCTTTCCTTTGTTAAAAAGCTAACAAAATCATTCTCTTCAGGAATGCAAAAAGGTTGAAAGGGACAGCTTTCTCACTGAGATCGAATTTCAGGTTGGGCAGTCTCTAAAGTCACCAAGGAGCATCCCCCGCTTGCCCAGCTTCCCCCATGAGTCCCACTTTGGGAGACCCTCATTAGGAGATGACAGTTCCGTGAAAGAAAGGCCTGTGTCGCTTGGATCTCCACGTCTCTCCACAGTGCTGTGCATGTTGTCAGTGACTCTTTGTTGCATGTGTTGGTGACTTTGCCACCGCTTTTGCAGACCTCCTGACAGTGAGTGAGACGGCCAACGAGCCTCCTCAAGATGAAGGTAATTCCTTCAATTCACCCCGCAACCTGGCCATGGAAGCGACCTACATCAACCACAATTTCTCCCAGCAGTGCCTGAGGATGGTGAGGAAATTATTTAGTTAACTGCTATCGATTGAGCGTCTGCTTTGTGCAAGGCTCTGGGGTTGTGGGGTTGTGGGGTTGAGCAGGAGGGATACGGTGCCTGCCTGTAGCACAGGAGTTACAAGCTTGGGCTCTGAGGTCAGACAGCCCGATTTTGAACCATAAATCTGCCACCTCATAGCTTTGTGCTCTTGGGCATGTTTCTTCTCTGTAAATTTAGAATACTATTAATAATACATGTTTCACACAGATATGTTAAAGACTCCTTCAGTTATTTAACAAATACACTATCGTGTACAGATAAGCTGTTTTAGATACTTTACAGCAGCAAAGAAAACAAAGTTCCTGCAATGTCTGCGTCCCTCCCAGCCTTATAGAGCTTTGTTATAATGGAAGAGAAAGACAATGAACACTAAATGAATTTGTTGTGTCAAATGGGGACATGTGCTGTGGCGGGAAAAACAACTTAGGGGAGGGGTGTGGTTACTAATTAATTTTCGCAATTCATCAGGTGCCAACAGTCGGGAGGGGAAAGTAGGCATAAAACAAGCAGCGAGCTCAGAGCCCCCCAGGAACCTGGCCAGGGCAGTAACTAAGCTGATTGGCCTGGGCTGCAAGGTTAGCACTGTCTCATGGCACCATTATCATTTTTGCAGGGGAAGGAAAGATACAATTTCCCCAACCCAAACCCGTTTGTGGAGGACGACATGGATAAGAATGAGATCGCCTCTGTTGCGTACCGGTACGTTAGCTCTCTGGCAGATGTTGTGACCAGATTGCAGCACAGGCCCTACTGTGTGGGGTCTCAGGTGACCAGATGAGTATCTCCTTCATCACAGGTATCGCAGGTGGAAGCTCGGAGATGATATTGACCTTATCGTTCGTTGTGAGCATGACGGCGTCATGACCGGGGCCAATGGCGAAGTGTCCTTCATCAACATCAAGACACTCAATGAGTGGGATTCCAGGGTGAGGCACCACCTTTGTCACCTCGTGATATCATGTCTGTGTTCCTCACTGCACCTTTTGTCACAAGCTGGCTCAGATGAGCTAGCCTCTTTTCCCCTTTCGTTACTTACAGAGCTACCTAGGTTTTTGTCTTGTGAAGTTTTTCTTGTGCTTAATTCCTGACTGAGAAAGAGTGTGAAACTATATGTGCAGAACTGTGTTAAGTTTTAAGAACTTTTCTGTTTATTTTGCACAAAAGAACCAGTAACTTCATTCTTCCAGTACTTTCTTCTTCTTTGTTCTATTCTGACCTCCTGTTGGCTTCTACTCTCTGCAAGCATCTGATTTTGATGTCATTATCTGGGTTGGCCATTTTTCTGTCGACCTGGCAACGCTTCGTTTTGACCTCTTCTTTGATTTACTGAGCCACTACCTTCTCTTCAATCTTTTGATTCCTTTTTTCCACCTCCTTCCTCACTGAACTCTGATTCTAAGATCTAGCTCAAAATTGACTCTTCTAAGGTACCTTGATAGAAACATGCTTCCTCCATTTTTCCTCCTTCCGTGCTCGCTCGTTGCTGGTGCTCTGTGATCGTTGGGCTGTTACTCTTTCTCGAGCTACCCAGGCTTGTGTGCCGCGTCTGAATTAAAGTGGGTGGCGGTGCTGCACGTGCTGGTGTGTGGAATAGACGATGCTCAGTGGGGAGGACAGCTCCAAGGCCAGGCCTGTGTTGGACAAGTCTCTGACATGTACAGAGGGCTGTTCGTGCTTCCTGCCCAGAGCAAAGGGACCAGCATGGGCTGCTGCTGATTCTGACCCCTCCAGGACTCCTTATACCCCATCACCTGCTAAAAGAGCACACTGGAAGTTTTGCTGTGGGCCTGGCTCTGGGGCCAACCGCCTTTTCTTGGACTTACCACAGTGAGCTCCCTGTAGCATTCAGCATTGCCATGTTTATGTGGCTTTCACCTCAGTGTTGCTACTCTAGTATATTTCTCTGCTCCCTTCACATGTGGTCTTGCTGACTCCCCTCCAGAAATAGAGTCTCACTGTGTTGCTCAGGCTGTTCTCGAACTCCTGGCCTCAAGCTATTCTCGGCCTCCCAAAACACTGGGATTACAGGTGTGAGCCACTATACCTGGCCAGCTCCCCTCTTTTTTGACCCCCAGTGGAGCCTTCTCTTAGGGTCAGTCCCCCACACAGCTCTCTTTGCCACAAGTACTTTTTTTTTTTTTTGAGACAGAGTCTCACTCTACTGCCCTGAGTAGAGTGCCGTGGCATCAGCCTAGCTCACAGCAACCTCAAACTCCTGGGCTCAAGTGATCCTCCTGCCTCAGCATCCCAAGTAGCTGGGACTACAGGCATGCACCACCATGCCTGACTAATTTTTTCTATATATTTTTAGTTGTCCATCTAATTTCTTTCTATTTTTAGTAGAAACGGCATCTCGCTCTTGCTTAGGCTGGTCTTGAACTCCTGAGCTCAAACGATCCACCCGCTTCGGCCACCCAGAGTGCTAGGATTACAGGCGTGAGCCACCGCGCCCGGCCCACAAGTACTTCTTCATGTAGCCTTCTATTTGTTTCTTTTGCTCTGTAACAAATTAACAGAAACTTAGTGGCTTAAAACAGCTCTATGTATTAGCGCATAGCTCTGTAGATCAGAATTCCAGCATGGTGTGGCTTGGTTCTCTGTTGAGGGTGTCACAAGAATGAAGTCAAGGTGTCAGAACTGAGTTCTCATTTGCAAGTTCTGGAAGAAGATCTCCTTCCAAGCTCATGCCAGTTGTTGGCAGAGTTCAGTTCCTTCTGGTTGTATGACTGAGCTGCCCATTCCCGACTCCTCAAATCTAAGATTTACTCTGACCTGCCTCCCTTTGTTTTTTTGCTAAAACACCTTCCCCTTCCAGCGTCCTTATTCCTGTCATTGCCTCTGGCTCATCTGTCCATCAGCCTGTCTTTCCCCCACTCATGTAAGCTCGGAGCTGCGAACATCTCCGACGACTCCTTTGCACTGTTCTGTTTTGCTGTCAGGTGCGGTCTGTCTGCTGACTCAGTTCAGGATTCCCCTGACATCATCACCTAGCTCAGGACCCTGTTGATGGTTCCTGTTTTGCATTTGTCTCCTAACTGACTTGTCTCCACCACCACCCCCAAATGTAATTCATCTCTGCCAATCAGCTGTCCAGAACACTGCCTCCATCATGCAATGCAGATTGGTGGAAGGGCTCTTAAAATGCTGCAGCAAGCCAGGTGTGGCGCGTGCCTATAGTCCTGGCTATAGGACTATGGGGGGCTGAGGAGGGAGGATTGCTTAAGCCCAGGAATTCGAGTCTAGCCTGGGCAACATAGCAAGACCCCGTCTCTAACAAAAGGGAAAAAAATGCCACAGTAAACTCACAAAGGTACCACGGGATATTTTAAATTTTTGAGAGAAACACAAGTGTGTCAGAATAGT